TGTGGCAAGAAATGCAGAATGTAATTTCTCCCTGACAGTTATGAATTAATGATGCTTTAATTTATGACCTGCCTGCCACCATGTATGCACACACATATGTACATACAGAAGTGAGCACTGGGAATAGTTTTATCTGTGGAAAGGATAGACATTTTATGAAATAGATTTTTTTTTAATCTGCTTGGTTAAAAGAAGTCAGAAAGAGATCTTAGGAAAGCACTAACTTTTTTAGTTTACAACTTTTCAGGCAGAGATTACAGAGGAGTCTCAGCAATATTAAGACAATTTCTGTAATGCCATAGAAAACAAGGTTAAGAAGGAAGCATTCAACCTATAATAGCTTAGGGCGAAATCTTTTATTACATAAGGTCTTCCTAAGACCAAGTTCACACCACCCACTTGTGGAGATGGTGCAGCATACAATTCACAGAAGAGAAAATATCTACAAGGGACATTAAATGGAGCATAGAAATAGCCTACACAAACTCCTAGAAATGTATTGTGGGATTCAGCATGACTTTCAAAAGCCTTGTGATATCTGAAACTCTCAAAATTGGTCAATTTAATTATACCAGGACTTTACTTTTTACTTTATTTCTTTTAAAGATAAAATAAGACAGAAAAACAAAGAAGTGGTATATGGAAGGGTACTTCTCAGCCTCCAAGAAGATTCCTTTTGGAGCAGGTATTCAGAATACTGCAATTTCGCACTGAGTGGGAGGTAGTGAATTGTTGCTCTGACTAATATATATCTTAGCTGTCAGGTAGATCAAATGTGAACTCCCTTCTGGTAGCTGAGAGCCACATTTAAATGTGGAGTTGGGTGGGGAAAATGTATGGGTGATACTACAAAGTGAGTGGGACCACATCATACACATGGGTTGCTATGAGCTTCTCCATTTTTTTCTGGATTTACGGACTTTTATTTGATTTATCAGTACTGAGCCTTGTTTAAGCTTTCACTACAGTTTTTTTTTTTTGGGTGTGTGTGTGTGTGTGTCTTTATTCTATCTGCAAACAACAATAGAGCATGTTGATAACATGGGCAGTGGGCTCCAAGTGTAGTTAAAAAAAGGAGCTTCCAGACCAAACATGCCCTTGAGGTCACAGCCTTGCCATGCTTAATCTAGTCAAATAATTGGCCAGGAAAACTGTTAAGCCAGAGGATGAATATATGCAATTCAACAGGCAACAAAGCACAGGGACATGATATTTTTACTGGCCTATAGTATAAGTATAGCTAAAAATACATACCCCAGGTATTCCAAGATTCCTAAGAGCAAAGATGATTGTAATTTCTCATCTCTTTCAAATTACTATCCACCTCCTGTTGTAAGTTGAAAGTCTCAGATATGATGCCCAATTATACCACAGTTGTCTTGATACAGTCATTCAAAGCCCACTCTCGCCCCATCATCCAATAATTAGTGAGGTCAGTTTGCTAGTTATGATGATACTCTATATTTTATCCAAGACTGACTCCCAAGAGGTTTGTGATAACTCCAAAATACAAGATGCAGCTAAATTGAATTTGTGCATATAGTAGTCAGGAAGACGAGGGATAATGTTTCCATCTTGTTACTCTACCTTGATGCTTTAATGATTTCTCTCCTGTATAAAGGTGGGGAATAACAAAAGTAAAATAGCTAAACTATGCAGAAGCAGGAAACACAATCTACACCTCAAGACAAAGGAAGAAAGATCATGACATTAGTTTGCATTTTGATTTGTTTTTGTAAAACCCCTCCTGGCTAGCATCTCCCAGCATACAGACTACCAGACAGAAAACTTAACTTGGTTTAGATTGTTTCGGAAAAAGTACAAATTCTTACGTACACCAGAATTTTAATAAATTTATAGAGTTTCAACCCCACCTTATTGTAACTCAAAAGATGCACAAGTGTTTATCTCTTGCATTCAACTATCACAAGGTTTGTTTGTTTGTTGATGTATGTTGATGTTTTAACCAACACATGCATTCCAGCATGGGTAGCGAGGTACAATACAGGTGCAGAATCTCTTGTCCTTCAGAGGTTTGGATTGTCACTCCCATAATCCCTTCATATTGGCCATTGGCTGGCCTTTGCTAGAAGGGTGAAATGATGAAATATAAAAAAATAGTAAGAAGAACGATAAGCAAAATTATATAGCAATTGAGACCAAAGTTCAGAAAATTCTCCTCTGAATACAGATTAGAGCACTGAACAATTGGGAAGATGTTTATGATCTCTCCTAACATCTGTTGAACAGGACTCATGCTAGCTAAGGAATGAAAGGAGAAACATAAATGAACATAAAAACAGAGTTCCATGCTGTCCATCAAACAAGCATTCGGAACTTTAAATAAAGGAAAACTTCTGGAAATAAAATATATTCTTATTTACATCAGACAATAATCTAGCTGTTGATTATATACTGTCTTCAGGTTATCTGGGCAGTTCATCTTCAAACTTTGTTAGTTCCTTTCATATAAAGTTTGCTGCTATATATATTTCGAACATAATCTTCGGCTATATTTGAATGTTATACACATATACTGTGGATGAAAATTATTTCTTTTTATATCCATGTCTGAATTAATTCAGCCAGCGATCTTCTTTCCTGTTAAAACACTTTGTTTTAACGTCAAGTGGTTTATTTTTAATACATGGATCCAAATAAACAAAAAACATTAAAATCAAAATCTGAGCAAAGGTCAGGTCCACCTTTCTAGACAATTATACAGCATATACAAGCCCTAAGATAATAAGCTGTACAGATAATAAGCTGTAAAATAATGTAAAATTCCATTGTTTTTTTATTCAGACAAATACAGCTAAATACTTTGGGATCATTCTATCACTATGGCAATGCAAATTCCAAGATTCCTAAGAGCAAAGATGATTGTAAT